ACATCCTTAGAATTATTAAGTTACTTTACAATAGTTAACATAGGTGAGGGTAGATACCATACACAAGTAATTTGTAAAAAATTAAAAATCAAATTCTTCCGAATTCTACTCCACGGATATTTTAAAGTTACAGGACAAATACAGCTTCTTCAGATGAAATAAATTCAGTATTTAATATTAAGAAGCAAGCTTCAAATGTTAACGAAGTTATAGAAATTGGAATATATCTTACATTCACCAACCCTAATGTGTGAAGCACTCCTTTAAATTATCAAAACTACAGTATTCAGACAAGAAATATTTTTGCGAACCATGTTTTAATAATACTTTAATTTAGACCGTATACTGGTTGCTAGAGGGAGTTTTGGCATGACATATAGATGTGTGGCGCCTGGAAATTTTCCAGTGGCAAGTTTGAGGTGCTGTTACATGCAAGCGATGTTTCTAATCGTCTAGAGTTTAGGCGTTTCCCTTCATTAAGTGAATTAGACTTTGCATTATTTTTACTGAATAATCAAAAGAACTCGTCCAACAGTAGAAACTGTTACAATATTTCCTGCAACTGACGATTCTAACTGACCAGATTTAGTACTAGAAGTTGACGGTAGCAAAAAAATAATTGCACAAGTCTTCCATTTCCCCAAATAAAGTAAATCGCCAAATGAACTTACCCTTTGTATAAGTACTTGAGAGTAGCAACTACTTTGGAATTTAGTTACATATTCACGTATATAAATTATGATGTATTTTAGACATGATGTATGTTGGACATAAAGGCTAGAATGAAGTAAAAACAAAATAAAACATGGTAAGTGTCCATAAATGAAAACAGATGCGAATGCAATATACAGTGTTCAACTGCCCTATATAGCCTTACATATGAGCCGACAATAAACCAGGGCTAATTTGCTTAAGGTACACGAGCTATTGAATAAGCATTCAAACACCCACGATACACAAGGGTAGGTATATATGTAGAGTTTACAAAGAAACAAACGAAATACTAAGAGGTACATTTGAAACAGAATTTCAAAACTGATATGACTAGTTTCAGTACAAAACACGTATTTACGTGGCTCGTATCATTTTCTTCAAAGATTACATTATTTGCAAAGACGAGAACAGTGAGGTCAGCTCGGAGCGGCGACTTTTCCGATAGGTATTCAAATTTAACATTTTGATTAAGCACGTGTTGTGCCACCTAACGTATAGGTACAAGTATTAAATCACAATACTTCAGTACATGGAGATTGTGATAACATGATGGTTAAATACGCATGATAATGTATGCAAGTTATCTTTGAGTAATGTAAATTGTGTCAATATGTTATTCGTCCCATATTTTGTGCTTGTTATTAACTACATGTGGAAAACAGGCTGAGACGATCCTATCAGGGAGACACGAACACGTCACGCACGAACAATTCAGGGGTATTCACTCACGACAGTTTTCAGTTGTAATCAGGACCGCAAGAAACAAAAAGATTCATAAAGAACGGATAGTTCCTGTTGAAAAAACAAAATTCTTGTTTAATGTATGTCCAATTTTACCATATTCGTACTAACTAATTTGACAAATCGTTAATAAAAACTTATGGAAATGTTGGACTAAAAGTTTAAGTGAACTTACCAAGAATAATTGCTCCAACGAACAGACTAATCGTGACACTCACAAACGTAGAAAATCTCTGTAAAAAGCAAAAACAGAAGATTTCGTAAGGCATTTATATTCTACAGGTGATAGGATATTCTTCTTTATTGAATCCTCCTACACCCCTCCTATTCTGAGTACGCACGCAAGCGCAGACACATGCCATCAGGTGGCCACTTAAGATATGTATAAAACTCATACGTTTAATTCTTTAAATTTTAATATCGGCAAATTCACAAAAAAAAAAATTGCATTTCAAACAGAACTCCAATTAAAAGTTGATATTTTTTAAAGTATATGCATTTCTTAAAATATTAAAGTATCGCATTCAAACATTTAAGTGCTCTGTATATTTGTTATGCAATACAATCATGTTTTACATATAATAAAATTCTTTAACTTCATACTTTGTGCGAAAAATCAGTTTTATTTACTCGATGAAATAGCGTCCACAAATGCGAAATTTCAGGAAAAAAGTTAGTTTTATAGAAGAAACAGAAATACATTCACTACTTTTCACGATCCTTCCTTCTTGATTCGCAAAACAACAGACCCATTTCTAGGATGAAATGTCAATGTTTCCTCATTTCTCAGAGATTTCACAAACTAATTTACTCTTAAGTTACTAACACTTACTCGCATTGCTATTATGAAACTATTCAATCACCTAAACAAATAAAAGTTTCATACTTTTCATTGTAGTTTCAGTTTCATGAATAATTACTTGGAACAGGTGTCAATTTGTGTGCGTGTGTTTTCAGAATTTCACGTAAAGATACAGAAAAGCTTCCTGCACATAACTGACCCCAATTTTGAATTGAAAGACTGGAAAGAAGGCAGCAAGTCAATAGCAACCACCGCCAACACATTCACGGGTCACAAAGTACGATTTTGCAGCAACACCTCCGAATCCTCGGCTTCACACTTCAGGCTCTAGCCACTAAGCCCTCCTAATGAACAACAATGTCGAACAAAAGTCATCTACGTAAATATAGTTTTGCGTTCACACTTCAAGTTCCTTAAAATGTGTAAATTAAGTGTTCAAAATGGAGCAACTAATAGATAACATGTTTATATAACGGGAAGGTAACGAACCCAAGTTGAAGTATTGTTGATGGGAGGAATGCTTTCTTTCAATATGGGGTTTTTGAGTGGGTTGGAAGGGGCGTTCGCAGTAAAAATTAGATTTCTGAAATTACGAGTTAAAGAAAGAAAAGTTTTACCAGCAATCTGAATCCCTGGACTTTAGGGAAAATGATAACATCTTGAAAATAACTGTCTGAAAATTTGAATTAGTGATCGAGGTAGAACCGATTCATTCCGTTGTACATTTAAAGTTGGTTATAGAATCTTTAGCAGCAGTCGCACTGGGTTCGTTTCAAATGGCTTCAAGTTCATTTCACTTGCTTTGATTACTGTAGTAATTGTTCACACTTGCCTTGGGCACGAACATGCAGAGTTCGTTTTCACGATTTACCTTAGAGTTTCATCAGGACTAGCAAAGACCTTACTTTTTACCAAACGAAACGAACCGAGCACGAAAAAGCCTGCGTATATAATTCTTTAGGTTGATATGACACCATAAAATAAATCTGTTAACTAACATTTAGGCTTAGTGCAGTTGTAAGCAAGCATACAGACATTAATAACCACATGTAGAGGTAGAGCTTAACTAAATTTTTTAAAAGCTAAATACGCAACAAAGTAAATTGTTATACTACTTCTAGATGTGTTGTAATGCAACAAGATCAGCGTTTAAAGGGGAAATGTTATGCTCAAATGCTGCTATGTTCTACATTTTGAGTTTTCACACTACGTTACGGAATTGAAAAAAAGGAAGATGACAGTGACAGTCGGTATTATTCATGCCATAACTCCCTACCCCCTCCCCCCTCTTCACATACACATGATACGTCATGTGTAGAGTTCAACCTCATTAGTGTTGTACGTTCTTGTCCTTTTATGGGGCCTTCTACTCGTGAAGCCCGGGAAACATTTATTAACGCGTCAAACCGATGTTTTAGTCCCAAGTTTATTATTTTGTAATTCCGGGTCTTAAATGTCAAACTACGTGTAACTCGGAAATAAATACGTCAAGTATCATGCGTTAGGTGTACAATAATGTATAAAATTAGATTTGGAGTCACTAAAGAACAGTTGTATTTCATTCATAATTAACTTACTTAGTAATAAACAATTACGGAACAGAGAAATTCTGATTTGGGCTTTGTCCAATGTGAAATCTCTAATAAATAACTGAATGCTGCCTTAACAGTACTAACCTCTTTTCGAATCCCAGGAAATACAATAAGAAAGGCAATGAAGACAGTGGAGAAACTCACGTAGATTACAATATTTTGAATATCTTCAATCACAGGCGTCCGGTTAGAATAATTATACAGCGTGGGACCTCCGCCACTCCGGAAGGCATCGAACCATCCTTTTAACATGATACCAGTCTGGTCGTTTTCCTAACCACTATAAAAATATATAAAATATTACAAAGATTTTGGTTAGGAGTACTAGTTTATAATACAGTCCAATAGAAGTATTTAAACGCACACTATCCTGAAAAATAAAATTATAAGTTCACTCGACCAGACGGTCAACCCCCATCAGTGGGCAGATAAAGGCTAGTGAAAGTGAAGCGGTCTTCAAATATACTCTCACTACTCCCTCTCGTGCCCAACACATCCAGAATGGCCTACTCTCAACCCCTCTAAGCATATCCAGAATAGCCCACTCTCTGAAAAACTTTTGGCAAAAAGTATTGGCTCTAACATTATATTGAAATACTAGTAAAACGGGTCAAGGGCCAAAAAATGCATTACGCCAGCCAGTGCCCAATCAGCTGACGCTGCGAATTCAAACAAGCTCTCTCAAGACTATTGTGCATAAATTGTCTTTACCAACCGTAACGCATGCGTATCATGCCCTCCCGCTTGTTTAAACTGCTCATTGTACCAACGAAGTGTGTGTGAAAGGCACTTCAAGGTAGTTTCATAGGTTCTAGACACGTAAATATCTTACTCCTTTTATTCTAAGTATTCTCAATTAATATCCATTCGTCCCACCTTACATAACATTCATTTATATTTACTAATTCTTGAATTCATTCTAGTTGCATCTTCTCATTTCCAGTGATCACTTACCATCTTCTCCCACCCGTGCCCTAATGCAGTCAAACTGTTCGACACTAAACGTAGAGCAGAAATACCTCGGGAAACAATACGAAACCCTCAGCCTCTGTCACTAGCACACGACTGGTGCAGAAACACTAGTTTTCCACGCGAGGAAGGTACTGCGTCTAGTCTCCGGACGTTGGCACCTGCTCGAGAGAAGTGCGTAGGATGTTCGGCCCACATTTCCGTTACTGAAGTAAGACCTTTTGAGAATGAGACATAGTTAAGGGAAATAAACATAAACTTTGAATTTTTATTCTAATTAGCTACGATGACACGATAAATTCCGAACTTGAGGAACATATGAAAGGACCGTTTAGATGAACGTATTTATCAACTGTTTGAAAGAAGATAAAACTGCAGAATGAAAACTACAGATGATTAAATTACACAATAAGTGAAGACGTGAACAAATTGAATTACAATCACAAACAAAAGTGCAATAAGATTTTCATGTTTAGCTTTATTTGATAAAAACAGCTGTTCATAATATAATACACATACAATGAGGATAACAACAGACCATGTAATTATATAACAAAGCACTATATAAAAAAACTGGCGAAAACACTATAGTGCACATAGATTGGATGATAAACCATATTTTTTTTTTCTGTAGAATTGAGTTTCACGTAAAGCTAGTCGAGGGCTATCTAGACAAGCTCTCACCCATTTAGCAGTAATAAGTTAACTGGAGCAACGGTTCTCAAATTTAGTAGCCCGAGGAACCGTTTTAATTTTGTTCATGGACCTCCAAATCTATCGATGTTTTATCGAAGATTCCTTGTACATGAAAAGCTGTATTCCAAAATTAAATATTTTAATTCGTATCAATTTAATTTTACTAAAAATATGATTTTTTCTTCATTTTATAAATAATATTCCTTAAAATATTTTAATAAAATTTCGACAATGAATCGCGAATTCCCTGGACTACCGTTTCGGACCCCACTTTGAGAAACGCTGCACTGAAGGAAATACAGCTAATAAACACCACCCACCAACAACTTTAGGACTACTCTTTATCAATTGTG